AGAGAGTGAGAGAGAGAGAGAGAGAGAGAGAGAGAGAGAGAGAGAGAGAGAGAGCTGGTGGAGAACTGCTGCACTCCTTTTTTTGTATTGCGGGCTTAGTAGAGCCTTTTCCAGAGGGCGACGTCGTGCCGTGGCACAGCAGCCTGTGCACAATTTATGATGTACGACAATACAATAGAGATGAGCTAGGAATTACGTAGAACCCTTGTTACAGCGGAAACCATGATTAGCTTTAGTTACAGTTTGAATGCCTGTAGAACTATACAGTTAATTAAAATTTAAAAGAAAATAAATTTGATATTTTTTTAGCTCAGGTCTCATTTTTATGAAACATGAGTATTATTCCATTTTGTATTCAACTCTTTAAAAGAAGAAGATATCATTGGTAGCATTGGTTACTTCAAGATCCTTATAAAATATGAGGAATGCGGAATAAAGGAATGCGCAATAAAGAAATGCACTCACGTATACGATTCAGGTTTTACTCACGAGGTTTGCACATCTCTAGCTAAGAACTAGCCGCTGGTCGTTGGAGCTCGAATCATTGGGGTTTGCGAGCGTTTGCGACACCCGCATTTATGTGTGAGTATTTGGTTTATTTCAAATACAATCACATTTACACACACACACATACACTCAGAGCAGTGGTACACACACATTTAGACACTTAGTGGTCTTTATTGTTTTGGCTGCTGTTATAGCTGTTGTTGTTGTTTTTGGTGGTGCTGACCAGGCTAGTGGCACCCACAGTCGCCGCTTGTGCGGTTGTTTTGGTCATCTCCGTCGTTTTCATTTTGCGCTCTTTTTTTTTTGCACAACGAATCCTTTTTCCTGCATTTTATTCAATTTGGTTTGCAGGCAACACACACACGCAGACACATACACGCACACACACACACAGCTATGCCATTATAGTTTAGGTAGTTTGCGGTCACATTTGGCCTGGCCATATGGGTTAGCCTAGAAGTGGACTGCAAATGACATTCCCAGTAGATCTCTTAACCCGACAGCCCTTCGTCTCTCTCTTTCGCTCTCTCTCCCTTCCGCACACTTTCTCTCCGGCACACAGTTCTTCAATCGAGTGCTAATTTTAAATGTATATGGATATTTTATTGCTGCCATTAGAGTTATTAGACAAGAGGCTGCCATAGGATTTGCTGCTGGATTTGCTTAAGTGGCTGCAGACACTTAAGAGCCCCAAAGGGGTCGAAAGGCGGAATGGGAATGGGCATGGGAATGGGAAATGTTTATGTATAGAAGTTACAAACTTCGTTTGCATGACCTCATTGCCTCAACCAACGAAAAGGGTACTGAGATCAGCAGATGAAAGAAGTCTTTATATTTTTATACCCTGAACCCATTGAAAATGGGAAATCAGGGTATAATGGTTTTGTT